GAAGTGACCATAAAATGTTGGAGCGACGAGCCTAAGGTTACCGAAGTCTAATTCCCCGGTCGAACCTTAAACCTATTACGCGAGATATTAACTAAAATGGACTGTATATGCGAAATGCTTCTACGTTTACATAAAATGGCGACTATAGCACGCGATTTCCCATACAATGCACTCGCTCTTCCCTAAAACGAACTATTATTTGCCAAATCTATGACAGGAATCCTGCTTGATTAGGAGAAAACGAAAATTGGAGCGGATTAACTATTAAACACAATTATATCAAGCAGGAACTAGTAGGAATGTTCCCTCACCGGGGTGTTGAGGTGATATCAGACAGTTCATTTTTCGTTCATTTTTATCTTTCATTCGTCACCTTTCACTCAAAGTGAATCGTTTGAACACAAAATGAAACAAAAGTGCCGAATGAATTCATTAATGAACCGATCTAACAATGTTGGATATTGGCACTCGGCATCTTTTACTCCCAATCCGAATGAACGAAAAATGAACGGTCTGAACACAGAGTGAGCGTTCACTCGTATACGGCCATGGTGTTTAAATGGAATAACCAAAATACTTTGGAACCACAAAATTGATGCATATAAAAAAAAACAATACGGGCAAACGATATATCTTTAATTTTGCCGATTTAAACTTATATCTTACTGAGGAAGACATTAAACAAAATAAAGACGGTGAGGACCCGCTATACACGCCGTTTTCTTTGTTTATTTTATGTCAGTTCCTTAATTAAGCTATCGCAAATTAAATTAATTTCAATACGCACAACTGTATTTGACCACATCTTGAGAGAAAAGAGCGGGTGAATGTTCATTTTTAGTCACTGTATCTAGGCTGTGTGAACATGGAATGAAAGAAAAATGAAGCAGTCACTCCAGTGAATATTCATTCGAGTGAACTGTCTGATATCACCTTTGCTTCTATGCGGCTTGGGCACTATGTTATGTTGCTGCGCTGCGACTTCTGGAAGACACTCTGGGAGAGAGGCGGTGTGGTTCCAACGACGAGCGCGGCGGGAAGAGAGTGCGCGTCGGCCGCGCGTGCCTTTTTATTCCTTCGGTTGCGATGATCGCGTAATATTCTAGAATCATCTTCTTTCCCCTCCAACCCCACCACCCCGATGTGTCGATAGGAGGGTATGAATGATATCGTTTGGAAAGGGATGAACGATTTGGCAAGCCTACCGTCAAATATAAATAAAATACGAATGGTTTTCCGCGCAACCATACAAAAAAGGTAAACTTCACGCTATTCTAGCGTATGTTGGCGGACTTCACAAGTTGTCGAATTGTATGGTAATATTAATCAGTCATTAAACTTTTAACTTCAGACTTGCGGAAGTTGTATTAGTTTAATTTCAAGCCTTTGTTAATGTTCATGATTAATTCGCTGTTTACAAAATAGTGTAGGTGAATCTTTTATCCTTTGTATCAAGACAGTTTTTATAAACATTATTTTCTAACCTAAAAAGGCAGTTTTTCTAATAAATGTTCGAATATTTAAAAAAAACTACGGTAATAAACCCGCCTAGCAAGCGGGGCAATTATGGCAAATATCTTTTCTGAGGCAATCGAAATTAGGTGGGGCCTATTTTTAGCGTACTTTTGATGGGCTGATAGCACAGTATATAAATCCATACAGTAGTCCGACGAGGACGTCTAGACAGGGCATCGTGCGGGGCGTGCGGGACGAGACGAGCCCGAGTTGTTTATGCCAATCTTATTAGTAGCTCGGGACACGACTTTCAGGGTTAGCACGTGTTTGCTTTTATTATTGTTAAATTTAGTGTCACAGCCCACGTCTTATACACCATTTTAATTATAAGTACCTATAATTAAAATGGTGTATAAGACGTGTGCTGTGAGAGATTGCAAGTCATCATCTCGCATAAATAAGGATCTGAGATTTCACCATAGACATAAAAAGTAGGTGCTAGTCGCTGGGCATGTGTTTGAAGTTCGATTTTTTCTTGTTCCTCCAAATCGTGTGGTTTGAAAGGTTAAGGTCTTAGAACATACTATAGTGCCTCGTCTTCGGTCTTTCGAATTTTTTATAAAATATTAAGGTTTAGAGGTCAATTTTTAGGTTTGTCGGGGTGCTAATTACGAAAATAGCATTTATTTTGAAATGCAAGATGGCGGTCATTTTTTCAATCAATTTAGGTTAATTTAGAGGTTTCTTGGGGTGTTGATTACGAAAATGACATAATATGTTTTCAAATACAAGATGGTGGACATAATTTTTCTTAATGTTATCGATGTCAACTTTGAGGTTTATCGGGGTGATGATTAAAAAAACGCCAGTCATTTTCTTGTTCAAGATGGCGGACATTTTTTAAAAATATAATATGGGTATCAATTTTGACGTGTCTTGGCGTGCTGATTTGGGAAATAGAATCTATTTTGAAATCCAAGATGGAGGATTTTTTTTATAATATGATACGGATGTCAATTTTGAGGTTTCTCGGGGTGACAATTATGAAAATTTATTAATAGGTATTGCGTTTAAAAATTTCAGATGAAAATTATGGATGGAAGTTTTTGGTAGACCGGATTTAGTTGGAAGAACTTTCAAAAGTCTAAAGAATACATACATGCAGTTTGCATTTCGAAAAGAGTATGCATGGGATGAAATCACTGAAGAAAACAGCTATACAAATGTTACTTTTACCAACCAACGACTGTTGATAACGATGTAGATCTAAAATAAATAATTAAATTAGTAAAAGTTGTGGATTTGTGACAACCCTAGCCTCCATGCGTTGTCCAGACGTTGTCGGCATTTACCAAGAGATAAAAGGCGTCGTCCTCCTGTATGTCTTTATTATACTATGCTGATAGGCTGTAACGAATGAACGAATGAGTGTATGAATAAAACTAAATTTACGGATTCTATCGCGTGTATTTAACTGATTTTACTTATTTTTAACTTATTTTTAATTCCCGATGTTTCGGGTGCTTTACAGCACCCATGGTCACGGGATGACTGAGATGTTTGACGTCCCAATGTCATACTTAGTCCGGCTACCTTCAGTTTTTGAATATTAACTTTTGGTCCGATTTACGGTCGATTTATTTATTTTAATATTCAAAAACTGAAGGTAGCCGGACTAACTATGACATTGGGAGTCAAACATCTCAGTCCTCCCCCCCCTCCCCCGTGACCATGGGTGCTGTAAAGCACCCGAAACGTCGGGAATTAAAAACAAGTTAAAAATAAGTAAAATCAGTTAAATAAACGCGATAGAATCCGTAAATTTAGTTTTATTCAATCTGTAGTGTTCGCGTAAATTTAAGAAATCATTGAATGAGTGTATGAATAATGCTCCCATAGCAACATAGAGACTGAATAGAAAATATTTAGCTGTTTTACGTTATATTCTTGCCGCAGCAAACCTCTCTTAACCCAAAATCTGATTTGTATTTTTGTACTTTTACACAAATATTAGTGTCAGTTTCTATTTCAACATAAGTCCCATGACTATAGTAATCTTTACTATAGTCATGGGACTTACGTACGCGATCGCAATGATTTGAGAATGAACTATTCTTTCATTTGCAAAGCCCAAAATCGATTCTTAGATGGATATTGCCTTCCCGTGGTTATTATATTAATAAAACTAGTATTTATATTTAATTAAATAAAACTGACCCAAAAGTAAACTATACCATAACAAAACGCTTCTAATATCTACATGATTTGTGCAGGTATGTCTGTAACGTTGTATTTTTACGAAGAAAAATCGCAAATGAATGACTGTTCATACCTGGTATAGACGCAAACGTGACTGTGATAATAGGCGTTGTTGACACATCGTCTAGTCTAGACTTTGTGCAACATTTAGACTTTAATTACCTACTTACCTACTCTTATAAAATACGTCAATTGTTGACGTTTGCCCACAAAACTACGTAGGTACGGGGTTTTTCTCTTTAAATATGTATTACTCACCATTTGAATTAAAATTATTTCATTACTACCTGACTTAAGTTTATATTTTTGTAAAGTTTTCAATACTAGTACAAATGTGTATATAATATTTTCTTTTATCTATTGCAGTGATTAGATGATACATAAGTATTTATTTTACAAAATACACACATTTAAGCTTTTATTAGCCATAGGTACCCAAATGGTCCTTTTTGTTTAATTTAGTTTTTACGATGGTATTTGAGAATGCAACTGTGTTTTGTAAAAATAATGATGATGTTTTCTGGGCTCTACTGCTGTAATTAAATTACCAACACAAAAGTGTTGGTTATTCGAGTCTGGTCGTGTTTTATGATGAATGCCACGGTCATATATTTTTAATCTGTGCCACGGTGTCTATCCGATACTGAACTTTAGATTAGACATAGAGTGGTTAGGATTCACTAAGATAATAGAGAAGCCATTATCCTGGTCGAAGATCAATAGGGATCATCATACTGAATCACAAAATCATAATTGAAAGTTCAAATAAATTTTAAGTGTTAGGGGTTACTATAAAGCCAGGGTTTTGCCGGAGGATGTATTTATTAATTTTCCTACTCTTATTTCAGAATGTGGTAAAATATAGTGTGGGACAACAGATAAAAAAATGGATTAAAGGAAATACAGTTTCTTAATGTAACAATCATTTTTATTAAAAATAAAAATAAAGTAACACTCACAAGTACTTAAATCGCAGACAAGCCGTCAATTAGATAACAATTCAAATGACTAGATTTAATCTACACATATTATGTAAACCTTAATTAATACCCGTAAGCTTTTCAGACTTTCTATGTAATTTATGTTATTACATAAACTCGATTATTTATAAACTTCCTTGCGACAATTAGCTTGGAAGACATTCTAAAGAAATCAACATAATGTACACCAAATAATCGTAGCATTTAATATCCACCACCGCCTCTGTAGTGGTTGATGCTATGTATCGTACAAAATGAGAATTAACTCAACTGAGAATTGATTCGTTTGCTAGTCTAGCACGATTATCAATCATACTTAAAAAGTAAACTGCTGATCGATTTCACCCCCTTAATAACAATCCTTTCAATATTATTAAAATTTTTTATTCGACAATGATCTATCGGCAGTTCACCGGCGTTATCAGCTTCAAAATATAGGTTTATGAGTTGTTGCCCATTGTAAACTCTTGCTTCCATTCGAACAGTAAACGCAATTGACACTGAAAAAGAAAATGATTATGTAGGTGTGTACCTTTGAAAAGATTTTTGGTTTTAAAACATAGTCCTCATGTAGTTTTAGATATCAGCCTTCTAATACGTAAAATTTTTAAATTGTGGTTTACCTTAAAGCGACATTTCAACTAAGCGAATTCTCTTAAATCATTGTATTTAGCTGACTTAAAAACCACACCACATTATTATACTGTTCATACTACTTATTAAAAGCTGATGTCGATGCTAAGAAGACAATGTATATGAGAAGAAATAAATCCTCGGCTTTAGAATATTATAAGATTCCTTTAATAAAAATAAAAAAGCAAAGTTACAGCCTATATACGTCCCACTGCTGGTTACAGGCCTCCCCTCATTTCTGAGAGGGTTTTAGGGTAAGGAAGTGTCTGCCACGCTGCCCCAATGCGTGTTGGCGAACTTTCCATGTTTTCGAAATATTTTTTACTTTATTCCTCAGACACGCAGGTTTCCTCACGATGTTTTCCTTCACCGCCGTGCACGTGGTAAATCAGCACTTAAAATTGCAATTAACAATTTCATTGGTGCCAGCGGGGATCGAACCCGGGTTACTCGCGTTCTGTTATATTTACGAGTAACCATCTGAGCTACCACGGCTCTATTCCTTTAATAATATATTATTATTCCTTTCTATTATATTATTATTCCGTTAATAATATAATATATTCCTTTTAAATCTTACCTTTTTCGGTTTATACCTTTTATTAAAAGTTTAAATGTTTGACCTTTTAAGTGGAACCATCAATATCACAACTTCAAAGGAGAATATCGTCTAAATGGTTACATTAAAAATTTCCTAGGCTGTTTTTTCACTCTTAGGGGTGGATTTTTTCCCAATTTATTTAGGACCATATTAAATAAAAAAGAATCATTAAATCGGATCTTAGGATTGACGGGAATATCGCGTAACATACATTTAAAAAATATTGAGAATTTCTTCCTTTCTTTTATGGAGCTAAAAAAGCTTTTTTTATAGGATAATGGTGACATATTAGCACACAGTCCACCTGATGGTAATTAGTTCCTGTGGCTCATAGACATCTACATCTGTCATAGACTACGAATCAAAATGCATATGCGTTGTCACCCGTGAGGACTAAGATGGATTGCCTCGTCTCCAGTAAAAGAGGTCTCCGGTTCTATACACTTACCATACGAAACAGGTAGCGTTAAGCTGCTATTTTACGCTGGTATTCTGTGGGAGCGTGGTCCTACCCCAGTCGGATCGACCTATTCGTGCTACAACTATACTACTAACAGCTGCAGCATAGCTCTACCATTTATAAAGCTTACCCTTGATATAATATTATTAATAATTAATTAAAAATAATGAATAGAATAAAATATAGGTTATGGAAAAAACCTCTGTCTGCGCTAAGCGCTATGACACACGATTAAATATTGCTGTCATGCTCGAGATAGTATTTTGCAATATTGTGGTCAGTTGTGTTAGATTGTGTTTTATTTCCACCACAAAGATAATTACTATCAACGCTTTTCCACGTTTGGTACAAGCAGATATTACCCGCATTGAGGTATAAAACTCAGGATAACCTCAATGATGATGAAAAAGGCGTAATTTTTGTTATTAGGATACGTGACATTACGTACCTTTTATTGTACAATTTTTTAACTGCATTCCTTATGTGAAGTTCCCCGCGTGGTAGAGCCATGCTGCATCAATATTATGGTTGTAGCACGTAAAATAGCAGCTCAATGCTGCTTTGTTTTGTGCAGTTAGTGTAGAGAAGCGAAGATCCTTTTTACTGGAAACGAAGCATTTCTCCTTAGTCCTCAGGAGTGGCAACGCATCTTCATTTTGATTCTTAATCGGGGATAGATGTAGATGTCTATGGGTCACAGCATATACTTTCCATCAGGTTGATAGTGTGCTCGTTTGTCACCCATATGCTATAAAAAAGTGTATTGTGTGTAGGTTTAGCCGAGTGTATGATATATTGTATGTACTTACTTTCGGGATATAAATTTTCAATGCTATACTCGTTGATACTCGGCTCCGTAAGTTCAGATTCCACAGCAATAATGTTGGAGGCGGTATCAAACACCATTCTACATACATACATGTTGCGGACTTCATCTAGTAACGCCACGGACAACCTAAAGTTATATAAAATTTATTCATTTTACGTTATTAACCAGCGACCCGCCCCGGTTTCTCCTGGATGGGATCTATAATGTGGCGTTATTTAGACCTTAGATAATTAAAGACAATTTATTTCATACATTCCAACCCTGCAAGACATGTGACCTTGATATTTTTGTTGATAAGCCTCAAAATTTCAAGCGAAAAATTATGCAGTCCTTTACTTTTAACTAACATTTAGACCTAGTTTTATGTTTGTAGTTGTAAGTTTTAAGAAACATATTCGTTGTCCACATTGCATGCCGTGGCAACCCTTAATTAAGACGACACTTAGTTATAAGCCTTCCTGTAATTTGTAGTTTTTACATTGTGTTCATGGACGTCTTGTAAAAAAACAAAAAAAAACATTTTTAGTTTTGTTTTTCAACGAAAAAAGTTCAAGCTTTTTGGATAAAATATAGCCTAGTTTCCTCCTCTAATTGCCCTCTAGCTGTTTGTAAGGTGTTATCATAATCGGTTTAGCAATTCGGACAGACAGACAGATACAGACTTATTTTAGGTTATTTATGTCTCAATACCATGCAAATAACGACTAAGTACTGTAAGGCTCGCTCGTTTTGTTTATTTACAAGGCCGTATTTCAAAAAAGGCTTTCATACGTTGGTTGGTAGTACTAACCTACCTAATTTTCCACAATAGTTACTCATATGTAATAATGGACAATAAAAAGAAAAGTCATAATTTGCATTTTAGATAATCACGTCGCTTTTGGTAAAAGGGTACCTAATCAAGAATATGTCTGGCGAAATGTCCAGATATATAATAAGGACGTGAACTAGCATCAAAAGTTAATCCAACTCTTTTAACTAGCTAATCATGAAAAAAATGTCATGCTTTATTTTAGAATAAATTTAATACTTTCTACATGCACACACACACACACACACACACACACAAACACACGCACGCACACACGCACGCACGCACCACGCACGCACGCACGCACGCACGCACGCACCACGCACACACGCACACACGCACACAAGCACGCACGCACGCACGCACGCACACACACACACACACACACACACACACACACACACACACACACACACACACAGACACACACACACACACACACACACACACACACACACACACACACACACACACACAAACGTTATAAAAGTTATTACCGAAGCATAGTTTTAAAAACTTAGGCAAAGATATACCGGTAAACGAAATCGATACGAGTCATTTTTAAAATGGTCTAACGGTGGTAACGCGAAAATAAAAATATTAGTCTATCTTGTCTCATAAAGGTGTCACGAAATAATTAATTTATATTTTGTAGCATTTCTAAGCATAAGCCAGACATAGCTTTTATGTATAAGAATGCGCCGTCTGCAAACGGTAGGAGGTTTAGTAAGCGTAAAGCCAATACCCTCGCGATATTATTACTGCACCTGAATTAACTGTCGAAATTAGGATGAGGCGAGCTACGTAGTCAAGTATCGTCCATTAATTTTAGGTTTTTTCAAATATAATATGGGTGATAAACGAGCACACAGTTCACCAGATAGTGGATGTTACGGCCCATAGACATCTACATCCATCCTCACTTAAGAATCAAAATGCAGATACGTTGTCGCCTCTGAGGACTAAGATAGAATGCCTCGTTTCCAGTAAAAATGGGCTCCGGTTTTCTATACCCACCATACGAAACACAGCAGCGTAAAGTTCGCTAGTAACGCTGTGATTCTGTGAGAGCATGGTCCTTCTCCAGTCGAGTCGACCCAACCTTGCTACAAACATAAAATAGCTGCAGCATGGCTCTACTATGTAATCTTATTCCTCAGGGTAGTAATGCTTCCTCCGCAGCCGAATCTTGGTTGGCGGCGGAGCCATAGACCAGATCCGCCGCTGGGGTCGGGAAGGCTAGTACTTCTAAGTGCTCGTTTTTCCTGGCCCCATGGCCTTCGCGCATCGGACGCGGGGGCGTCTGTTGCGCAGATGTAATTGGAGGCCGTGGAGGAAGGCGTGCCATGTGTTCTGGTGCGCCTTACTTGGGAAGGAGAACGGGGAGGAATATTCCTCTCCCGAGGAGGTGCTGCCATGGGGCGGCAGTCGCTGGTAGGGCCGCGGAAATGTTCGAAAGCGTTCCCGTAGCCCTGCCAATATGCGACGAAGGTGGAACACCGTGGGGTTTTAGTCGGTGCGAGTCCGACATAACCCGTCCTTGCCCCCGCGAGGCGGGTATGCGTAGGCATTTTCCCATGTTAAAAAAAGGGTAGTAATGCTTTGATTTTTAATCGAGTGAAGATGTACCTATGTATCAACGGGTCAAAGTGTCCACTTACCATCAAGCGAATTGTGTGCTCGATTGACACTCATACTTCTATAAAAACACATTTTGATATTATACTATCAAACTATTATAATGAAATTAATATTAATTACAACAATATATTTCTATAAACCGAAAATACTTACACATTATGAGCGTTATTCAGTGTTCCATTTATAGTTATAACGGACTCTGCAATAATTGATCTCGGTATCTTAATGATGCTTGAATCTAATGATATACTGTAATAATATAACAAAATATGCTTTATAAACTGTTTTTCGTTACATAAAAGGAAAAGTGAATTTAGAACCTATATATAGGTACGTTCCACTGCTCGTCCTTCTCACAATTCTGACATGGTAAATAAGGAGTTAGTAATTACGCCGCGCTGCTTCATTGCTTGTTTGTGAATTTTAAATGCCTCTTAAATATTTTACTTCTTGGGTTTCTTTACGACGATTTCTTTCAACGCTGAGCACGTCCTAAATTAGCGTCTAAAATAGCAGTAGCAATTTTATTGATGCCGACGAAGCGGGGATCGAATTCAGTTTAATCGCGTACTATGAAAATGATGGCAAGGTTTGGAGCTCGTGAGCTACTATGAGTATTATTATTTATACTTATATTGGGTCCTTACATATGAAGTTAGCGTTTTGTCGTACTGACCACTTTGATCTGAAATATCTCCTCTTTCGTTAAGAATTCCAAATTTAGATTTATAAATTCATTTAGCTGTACATTCGAGTTTTGAAAACAGTCATTCATTTGTTTTTTCCTCATTATATTTTTTGGCGTCGCTTATTACCGCACAATGGAAAACATGAAATATCGGTATATTTACGAGTACGAGTTCTAGCGTGGCACCAGTGCTGCAGAAACAGCTTGAAAGATTAATGATGTGTACGGCGCTGATGTCGCAAAAGAAAGCACGGTACGTTTTTGGTTTCAACGTTTTCGTTCTGGAAATTTCGACCTTCAGAACCAACCCCGTGGACTGCCGGACACCTAAGTGGAAAATGAAGAATTGAAGGCTATTGTGGTAGCAGATCCATCACAAAGCACTTCAGAGATAGCTGCAGGCTTCGGGGTAAGTGATAAAGCTATATTAATAAACTTGAAGTAAATCGGAAAAGTAAAAGAACTTGAACGATGGGTACTTCATAAATTGAGTGAATCGAACTTGCAAACACGAGTCGACTGGTGTGTTACTTTACTCAACCGACACAAAAATGAAGGGATTTTAAATCGAATCATTACTTTTGATGAAAAGTGGATACTGTACGATAATCGCTATGCTCGTCGCAATGGCTGAACGCTGGAGATCCAGCCAAATCCTGCCCTAAACAAAAATTGACTCAGAAAAAGTTACTTGTGAGTGTTTGGTGGACTAGCGCCGGTGTCGTTCCCTACAGCTTTCTAAAATCTGGCCAAACGATTACGGCAGATATCTATTGTCAGCAACTGCAAACCATGAAGGAAGAACTAGCTGCTAAACAACCGAGATTGGTCAATCGCTCTAGGCCACTGCTGCTTCACGACAACGCAAGACCACACACTGCACAACAAACAACCACTAAGTTAGATGAGCTACAACAATTGGAATGTCTTCGACATTCACAGTACTCACCGGACCTTGCTCCAACAGTACATTACCATTTGTTTTCCGGAATTTGGACAACTTCTTACAAGGAAAAAAATTCAACTCCGATGCGGCAGTCCAGACCTCAAAGACTATTGATTCTCGCCCCCATGGTTTTTTTTTTAGTAAAGGGATCAATGAACTACCTATGAGATGGTAAAAGTGCATAAATAAGAACGGTGCATACTTTGATTAATTAAATATATTTTACAAAAAAATGACTTTATATTCCTCCTGTACAAAACGCCAATTTTATATGTAAATGTATATATATATATATATATATGTATATATAAATTGGTTTGGAGACTACAGTTATATATTCGGGATACGTATACGGAGTATATCTTATACTGAACAGACCACGCAGAAAGATTTGCGAAAAAAATTTACGTAATATGACATGCGGCGGGAACGTTTTCAAACTTAAAACCAGACGAATCTTTTGATAGATTTAAAAAGGCGTTTATGTATAAAGGCATGTGTATAAGATATAGATATAGTATATACCATTAAAGTATAATATAAATTCAGTATATTATAATATAAAAAGCGCTTCTGGACGGGTTGATTGTTTCAAAATGAACTACGAGTAACTTTTCCGAAGTGGTGTTTGGTAAGCGCAGGGATCGAAAGCTAGATTTTCACTTTGACGGTATCTGGTGTTTAGTTAGGAAAGGTCCTTTACGGAATCGAAGAAAAATCAATGCCGAATAGTATACTAACAAAATATGATGACCAGTGTTCATTGCTGTGAGCAACAAGTGACGGAACGTAGCGCGCCATGCAATGTCATACTTAAGCAGTAGCCCGCGCACTCAACTCTCTAAACGAGGGACTTCCTGGACAGCTCACCGAAAAATTTTAGGTCACCCTCTTACAACCCTCATTTGGCACCGTGTGACTTATTTTTATTCCCTTAAATTAAATTAAATACTGCAAGGGATACATTCACCGAAAGATGCCTAGCAGCATTCGATTAGACCGTGGAAGAGGTGTCCGAGGCGGAGTGTTTCGAAAATTGGTACAGACGCATGAAACTTTGTATAGATACTAGTGGGAAGTTCTTTGGAAATATTTTAAAATAAAAACTAAATCCATAAAACTTTTTTCAGATTCGCAAGAATTTATGTGTGGCCCAATAAACACATAATACTAAGTTTCTTTGTACTTACTTTTTTGATACAGCCCGCGTCAAAACATCACGTTTTAATTGAAATAACACAATTAATGATAACAAATACACAGTTTTCATTTTTCACAGTAATATCTTATAAACCCAGTGTAGTGTTTTAAAATTGTGTGCACCAACACTAACACAGCACGTTTTCCAAATGATTATTTACATTAGTTGCACGCGTATAATGCGTTTACAGTCACAATAAATAGAATGTTATGATTGAATTTGCGTTTGAGAATCCTTTATAATCAATAAAATGAGTCATTACAAGAGTGATTGACACGAAATCCAACGTCATATTCCTATACTAGGATTCGAAAAGGTAAGGTAAATACCTATAATAAATATTATGTGTAAAATTTCCTTAAAATTTTAATTTTAATTCAACCATCAATATATTTTCACAAAAAAATTAATAAAGTGTCCGACATGGTTATTTCAAAATTAAAATATAACAATCGAATTAAACTACCTTTAATTGGGTATTTCCAGTTTTTCTGTTTTCTAACGCGGCTATTGTTGTTAACATGTAAAGTTACTTTGTTTCAGAATTACAGTCGACAAATGCCAGAATACATTTATCTTTGAACGCTTTAACTGTTTTTGTTTTAAGCAATTAAAAACTAACAGACTTTTAATGATACGAATTTATTACGGTTACTCAGTAATAAAAGTTGAACATTGATTTTGGTAAGTTTTCGAAACAACTCTCTCACTTCTTTCAAAACGCTAAACATGCTCTTTGAAACAGAAACAGAAACTTTTTTTTTATTCAATATAGATTATAAATAATACTCATTTAGAATCACTTTTTTTTATTTACCACTGGTTCGGAAAATATAACCTCTGTCCTGGGAAGAACCACCAAGAAATCCAGCGGGACATTTAAAAAAATAACAGCTTACAATCATTTATATGTTACACATTTAACAACACAAAACAAATTAGAAATAGCTTGGTAGTGATCAGCTTTCCTCATCCATAAGTTCCTTAATATTATAATAACCCTTTTTATACAAACTTAGTTTAATAAAGTTTTTGAACTTTGCGCTTAGTTTTGCGCAACTTCAATGTGTTGTCAATTTGGTGCCTACTACCTACGCCAATAACAAAACTTAGATTTAAAAATAAACCACAAAAGTACGTATAATGTCCTGAAAATAGTAATTAATTTGACTAACTTGTTAAATGTAATATTAACGAGGTTAGTCATTAAAATTTACTTAAAATATGCATTATAATACTTAATAACATTTCAGATAAGGTTAAGTATAAAAATTAACAAAGAAGCAAACAAAATATTTTTTTTATACCTACTGTGCCTAAACATTAATGCATCATGATCTACATGATATAGGTATCTTTCAAGGCAAATCGTAATCATCATCTTTAGCGTTTTAAATGCGCATTACACACCATTCATCATCCTCACATCCTCACCACCTATATAATACCGCACAATATTTCTTTGAGACGGCGACATTCCTACTGGCTCGCTTTCAATTTTTAGACATACTGGCGGACATGTATGCGAGGGTGTACGACCGGACGCCCGTCTTTTGCCTGAGCGGTGAGAGTAGGCCAGATGAGATGTTCGAAAAAGTTAAGCGGCAGGAACGACTTAACGTATTCGCAACGTGGCGCGCCTGTCTAATTATACTATTAATGCAATCCTTCCGCACTTCGAAGCCTGAATGCATCGACGAACAGGAAGACTCACCAACAGAGTTACACAGATAATTACTGTGGGCACGGGTGCTCTTCGGCGATATTTGCGAAGATCGGACAAGAAGCGATGGCGAACTGCTTCCACTGCGGTGGTCAGGACCAGGACTCCGCACCTTATACACACCTAACATGCCTAGCGTGGGAACGGGAGCAAACATTCCGATCCGACCGAATCGGTAAAAATTTTCCCTGCCAGCAATCGTGTCGGCGATGGGGGGAGGAAGGGAGAGGGACTCGGAGTGGAGGGCCGTAGCAGTCTTCTGTGAATCTGTTATGGTCCATAAGGAGGCTGTTATCGGTGTCGGATCAAGACAGATTCCGCTTGGACACGACGTCGCCAAAGCGTTCGTCACGGCCCTCTGCTTGACAATAGTTCCCATACTTGAAACGAGGCCTCTGAGGTTACGGGAGCTCGAAGCGGGGGCCTCGAACGCCTAGCAATACAATCCCTGAGGAGAACGGTGACACGGAATATTCCCGAGACACCGTGATAGTACTGCGAGGACTGCCTCCGGGACGTGGTTTAATAAAACAAAGCGAGAGGGGGGGTCAGGGAACCCCAGTTGGGTTCCGAACAGAGATCCTGGGACCCCTCTTATACGCTGATGGTGACTACAGTAAATAATCCGTGGAAGACCGGCATAAGCTTTTTGATGCCCTTGTTTGGCAGCAGGGGGCACCAGAAAACTTTAGCTTGGTATCCATGAGAATTTTCCCACCGTAAAAAAATACTCTATCAGACCACACAGCTCTCAGTGTAGGATAAAACTTTTACATTATCTGGCAAATGATATTGTTAATTCAGTTTGAATCTTACCCTTAATAATTACTGATATGTGGTTTTCCACGTCAGAATGGCGTCTGCGTTAATAGGGAAAATACCTAGTAGTGTAGTGCACTATATTATCAATTCATTCATTGAATTAGTTATTTATAATTCTACAATGCGTTTGATGTGTATCCATTAATGTGTATTTATCCTTGTTCATCTGGAGCTAACCTAAATCTTCCACGAATTTTTTGCAATATAAAGTTCTAATAATGTCACATATTAATAACTTTACCTCTATAACTATAATAACGGGACCTACATTAGTAGGAAGTTTCCGTACATCAAAAACCGCCTTACTACTCACCGAAGACGGGCCAGACCGCCGTTGGGACCGTGCAGATCGCAAATAAACTTATTGATTATTGAATTGTTTTTACCACTTTATATTTAAAAACCTATAGCAGATCAAGGGCCCCTCGATATAATTTGGTACGAGCCCCGCGTTTGCTCAATCCGGCACTGAATATGGTGGATATTTCAACGTAATCAATTTCTGAGATTTTTCAGTGCCTACTTAAAAGTAAAGGAAAGAAACGAGCACAGTGCAACTAATGTTTAGTGAATACTGTGGCTCGTAAAATTCAACAGCTATGAATATGAATTAAAGAACAAAAATAAGTTGCGTTTGCATTGAGGACTAAGATGAAATGCGTCTTTACCTGAACAAAACCCGTAAAAAAAGGGTCTCCGGCTCTCTTCACTTAGATACCTACCGTACGAAACACAGAATTATTATGTTATATTGTTATTATATATGTACATTACACCCTTTCTGAACAATGCTTCCATGCTCAATATGGACTCATGTAGAGAGCTACATTTAGGGGGACTAGTCTTTAGTGTTATTAAGTTTAAGAAACCAGAGTACTTGCATGCAAAGATAAAGTTTGCTAAGCAAGCAAATTCTGGAAAACAATTGAGATCCATAAGATCAGCACTCCTATATTACAGCCATAAAACAGCGGCATTTACCGGCAGTTTCCGATATATGGCAACGAAGTGTTGGAATAGCATCCACCAATAAGAAATCTTAACACCAACTACAAGTTTAAAAATAAATTCAAAACATATCTTCTAGATAAACAAAAACAAGGTACTCCCAAACACTTCGTTTGCCAGCTATAAACCATGGCATGTTATTTTCTTCTTTTTTTTCTTTATTCTTTTACTAACTCATCATGGTTTTTAAGTCATTTAGGTTGCATTTTACTTGCTACTTCTTCCTTAGTTTTGGTACAAAATAAACCTTAGGAGTATACATAAATATAGCTTGCTTATAGATATTCTAAGAAATAAATAGGTTGTAAAACTAATCATATTAAATAAGGTGGACGGACCATGGAAGGCCATGCTCCTTCGAAGGCCAATTATTAAAATGACGTAGTTATTGCCATGTGATGACAAATTCCTTCTACTTACACAAACACACATCGAACTGAAAACCACATACGCGGCGGCGAATTGCTCGCGCTACTATTTTGGCAGTACGGTCCTTCGCTTCATTGATTTCGGGAATCGACGACGTTAAAATAAGGTGGGTGTACCATGGAAGGCCATTCTAACAAATAAACACTTATTATTCGTTTATTTACTGGAAAAATAAAACTAACAAATATTTAAGGAATACTTTGTTATATTACGTAACATATAAACCACTTCTTTTTATTGTAGATTTAATCGCTATTTATTGAACTTTAGTGTTAAATGACTATTATAAGCCTTCTAAGAAGCCTTGTTCCTAGCACTAGCAAGGCTATTTGGAAGAGTTCAATGAAACTTAACACGGTAACTGTCCGTGCACTATATGTAGTGCACTGTGCAGTTAGCCATGGCGTCCGTGCACTATATGTAGGGCACCACTCCGTTCAAACTTAGTGTGATTTTTTGAATTGGACGTGAGAACTACACTACTGAATTTAAGATGGACGTGTGGATTAGGAACTGTGTAAAAAGAATCGCGAAGGACATATGGGAATTTCTTAATAATGTATGCGGGAGTTGAGGTAAATGTGGCTAATAAAATATCAAAGCAACCAAGTGGTACTAATCAAAAATATTTATGCTTTATTGAAAAATCAGTAACTAAAACGAACATGACTTATTAAATTATAATAACAAAACATTTTTCACATATTTTCACTGGCATTCGTTGAAACACGGCAGGCAGAAGCCTCTTTTACAAGCAATGCATTCGGTAACAACCTTTGGTGTCTTTCTCCTTGCTTCATTTACCGTGTTTCCACTTTCCTTCAGTTTTTGATAGCAGCCTGCGCATCGTTTTTGATGTGTCTTTCCTCAGGAATTGTTTGGTTTACTTGTGATGTTGTGACGCGTCGTAACGATGAGAGAACATGCATTTGGTCTGACGTTTTCAATAATAAGTAGTTTTTTTATTATACATTCATTACCCTGCAGCAGTGTAATTTTTTTCGTTGGATGGATGCAATTGATTGTAAATTACAATGGCGTTGACCACGCATGTAGCCAAAAGATCCGCCGCTATTTTTTTGTACCATATACATGATTTTCGAACAGGCGAATTAAAGCTTGTGAGCTGGTCAGCAATATCAATTCCCTTCTTGCCTTCGTTGTAAGTTAGTACCATTTTTGGCTTCAAAACGGGGCGAAACCCTTTTGACATTTGCATCTCGTGGGAGTGACACGTTGACAAAGTCAGAACATCGCGTTTGTCATGCCATTTTAGGGCAATCACACATTCGTTTTGTTGCGCAGCTATTTGACCTTTTTGAAGTTTCTGTTGAATTACTTGTGGTGGAAGTTCACGCCTCGCTTTACGGACTGTGCCACAGAAATCAGTTTTGCGTTCCTTGAGATATCTCGCCAAAGGTACACTGGTGTAGTAATTATCAGCAATAAGGATCCTGCCCTTATCCAGTAACAGTTCAGCCAGAGACACCACAACTGTACCTGGTTTGTCTAAACCAGGCAATTGGTGTGACCGTCCATCATATATAGAGTAACTCCATGTAAATCCATTAGAACAGCACAACTTGTATATTTTTATGCCATATTTGTGGGCTTTTTGTGGATTATAAGTGCGAAACGAAAGTCTTCCTCGGAAACCGACCATCGATTCATCCACAACGATTGTTTCGCCAGGAGTGTATATGCTTCGCGAGTTATTCATGGGCTTATTTATTAGCGGCTGTATTTTGTACAGCCTGTCATCCACATTATGAACTTCATTGTTAGAAAAGTGCCAACACCTTAGTATTAGAGAAAATCGATTGTAAGACATTTTCATGTCATGGAGGAGTGGATGATAGTATAGTGGATCGTTTTTCCAATAAGATTCAATGGAAGGGAAGTTCAGAAGTCCGGTAAGCAAATATATGCCTACAAACTTTCTCATTTCCTCCGAAGTAACAGGTTTCCATCTATTTATACGACTATACGGCTTATTATTACGATTAATTCTCATTTGAGAACCATAACGATTTGTTTCTTCGACCATCAATTGATTAACATCTTCATTGTAAATATGAGAAAAAATAGTCCACAGGTCTGTATTTTCAGAAAATAGCCGTACATGACGTTTCCCATTAGCATAACCCGTAAATTCTTCTCTTGGCAAATCTTGTATATTATTTTGCCAAGTCGTAGGCAATACTTGAGCCGGAGTAGGACTAACAGATCTCTGGACCGACATCTCAGGGGGTTGGATAGAGTTAGAATTAATTTCGGAAAAATCTGTCGAATTCTCAACTGAAATGTTACCTGATTAGGTGTTCTCAATAAATTGTCTGATGGTAAATACATTTTCTTCGAAAGGCAGGAGCGGAGTGTCCAATAAATCGTCTTCATCTGCGTCTTCTACAGCAGGTTCGATTCCTTGCATAACATTATCTTTTTCATCACTGTTTTCCAATATACGGAGCATATCTTCCTCACTCAGACATTTACTTCGTGACATTTTATATATAAAGCCAAAAATGTACCAAAACCACACAAAAACACTATTTTACGCGTAAAACAGTTTGGTTAGCCGTTACCCGTTATGAAACTTTGACGATGTAATAATATTTTGACAGTAGAACATTTTAACAGATGTCAGTTAAGTTTGACATTTCCTTGTATATGCCCCTTCCCCACGCATAGAAAATACAATAAATACAAGTGCCATATAAATAGTGCACTAAAAATTAGCTGCAGAGACCGTGCACTACATATAGTGCATAAAAATTAAGCTGAGAAGTCTGTGCACTACATATAGTGCATAAAAATTAAGCTGAGAAGTCCGTGCGCTACATATAGGGCATGCGGAAATTCAGCCTGTAATACACTTTCAAGAACCCTGGAGGTAGTTACGCTATCATAAGTAGCTATTTGCATAATCTTTATTTATTTAATCTAAAAAAAGCGTGGACGTAGACTGTCACTTGACCAAATCACAGTGGACAGCTAACGTGTTAAGTTCAATCAGTATTGATTAAATCTGCAATTTAACAAAGTGGTTTATATGTTACGTAATAAAACAAAGTATTACTTAAAATTTGTTAGTTTCATTTATCCAGTAAATAAACGAATAATAACTGTTTATTTGTTGAAGTGGCCTTCCATGGTACACCCACCTTATTAGGTGCCTTTCGCCTTTCGTTGACTGACTGGCTCAAAGATTATTTATATAATCACAGGGGTGGAGCGCCGATGTATGAATTTTTATTTTATTTTTAATTCTAATAGCACGGGGTGCCTTACGAATAAAGTCAATTTGCCTTTTTTTACAGCTCAATTAAATAACATCTTCTGCCCCTGCACGGGCCTTAAAGTTTAATGTTTTATCGAAAACATTTAGTATGTTTGGGCTAAGATAAATAATAAATAAGAGTTAACTAGAGATTATATATGAAACTCAATAATATATTTAGAATACTCAGCGGCGGATTTACACATTTGCCGCCAGTAGGCTATTCAAATTTTGCTGCCCCTACCGACTTTTACAATTTGATACAATCATATCTTTTGTCAATGAAATTATAAGTTTATGATTTGTGCACTATCCTCGTAATTACACCACCTTTTAGCCGTAGTTAGTATGATTGTGAACTAGGGGATCGATGTGTCAGTTCCTAGACTATTTTTACAACCCAAAAAAAAATTTATACGTGATACAGCTACGCTGCAGCTATATAATGGTTGTATCACGAATGGGTCGGCTCGACCGGGGAAGGACCACGCTCTCAGAATACCAGAATAAAATAGAACCTTAATACTGCTGTGTTTCTTATGATGAGTGTAGAGATCCGGATACCCTTTTTTACTGGAAACGAGGCATTCCATCTTAGTCCTCAGGGGTGATCTCGCAGTGGTGACGCATCTGCGTTTTGAATCTTAGTCGAGAATAAATGTAGATGTCTATAGGCCACAGCATCCACTTACTATAAGGTGGACTATGTACCCTTCGTCACTCTCATTCACTTGCCCAAGAAATAGTTTCTGGGTATATTTATGAGCTAATGAAAGCTCAATCATGTATTACTAATGAATGAATGAATGAATGAATATACTTTTATTGTACACCACAAACATATATACAGATAACAAAACAAAAGCAGATTATCTAAAAAGTCGCTCCACCACATATTATCAATATGTGGTGGAGCGACGAGCCTAAGGTTACCGAAGTCTAATTCCCCGGTCGAACCTTAAACCTATTACGCGAGATATTAACCAAAATGGACTGTATATGCGAAATGCTTCTTCGTTTACCCAAAATGGCGACTATAGCACGCGGTTTCCCATACAATGCACTCGCTCTTCCCTAAAACGAACTATTATTTGCCAAATCTATGACAGGAAAGTAAATAAAGACATAAAAATTTAGCCTCAAATTTGCCGCCCCAAAAATCTGCCGCCCTAGGCTCCAGCCTACTAAACCTTCTGGTAAATCCGCCACTGAGAATACTTATAATGTAATTTAATAAAAAAGTAAAACAAAATTCAATCATATGTTTTGAAAATCAAATCGTCAATTTGCCTTAAAATCTCTCTTCGTCTCGAATTTTGGTATTTTCTTACGGGATTCCAATTTGGCTTTCATGGCCCCCATTCGTAATGAATCCTTACATTTAGAAATGGCCGCTTCTGTCGTCAACTTTACAGCTCGCTCAACAGTCTGGGTATGACACGGGAGACGTAAAAACAAAAGTTCACCCTCACCATCAGATTGGACTATTTTCTGAATTTCGTGGTCACTTAAGTATTTCAAGATCGGCGATTCAGTAATGGTGTGTTGCCAATTTATTATATCAATGTAGGTTGTTAGCTCTTACTTACAAAAAATAGTCCCGCTGGGTTTCTTGCTGGTTCTTCCCAGGACTGAGGTTTTTTTGCGAACCAGTGGTAATGAAACAAAAAATGACTTTCAATAAGTATTACTTGTAATCCATATTGAATAAAAAAGTTTCTGTTTCGGTTGTTGTGCTGAAATTAATATCAGGCATCTCGATAGCATTGGTGCAGGGGATTGCTATATACCTACTCTGTGCTTTTAATATAGGCCGGGCTGCCAATTCACGAATGTGCTTTTTATCATCTGTAATCATTGCAAGTAGCAAAATTCTCAGGATGTGCAAAGTAGCTATTGCGTTGAATAACGTGGTCGATCACTTCTTTCAAGGATTCTGCCAGATACCTGGAGGCTAATATATTTTAAATAGATTTCGAGCCAGAGCAATCAAATTCTCTGAGGGTTTATCTGTTGCTACATACCTACAAACGTAGGATTCAATTAGCACGTGAAAGCCAACGATCATGAAATTGTATAGAAAAGAATGTGATGAAGAGGTACACACCTTTAGATCTCTTTGCTAGATCTTCTGAAAAAGAACTTAATTGTATCGCGTAGACGATCTCGTGCAAGTATTTTTGATCTGTGCTCAAATCTGGGGCAATTCGGGAGTGATTCTGCTTCAATGGATTGGAATTTTTTAATCGGCATTTGTTCACCAGTTTCCAGTACATACATATTAAACATTTCCCTGTATTTCTTTGTTTTTGTTGTAAAAATGACTGAGACAGTTCTGCATCAGGAAAAAACGATATACTGCTCGGTCCGTAGACAGAGAAACCTATAGACTAATGATTAGCGTGGCCTCGAATGAGAGAGGACGATAACGTAGTTTTAGGTTACACAATAATCTTTATAACTTTTAAACATATTTATATAATTTTTTTTATTGTTCTAAGAACTGAACTGAACAAGATTCACCAATCTTAAGCTCTTTTTTCTCACTTAAACCAACTTGTGAACTCATTAGATCGCTACGAACTGTCAAAGTTCAAGCAAACTACACTTTGCTAAACAAAAAAACCGGCACGGAGAACGGGCAAACAATCACACTGCTCTGTCTCATTTCTATGCAAGACGTATGCATTAATCTATCTTTTTCGTGTGCGAATGCGAAAGAAGGCGTCAATTTGTCTATAGGTTTCTCTGTCTACGGCTTGGCCAGACTGCAAACGCGGTTGGGGCTACTCAAACATAAGGTCTTACTTTGAGTGTCCATAGTAGCTACGCGGGCGCGAGGCGGTCGCAGTGGCGGGCGCGGGATGGTTGGCGCGTGAAGCGCGCGGGCAACTTACGCCATACATCCTTAATACAATTGGCCGCAGTGAGTCACATCGACACATCGAGCTAACCTGGCGCGTTGTAATGGCGTCTTCCGAAAAAATGTAGAATAATTTATTTTATAAGACAATTTACTATGTTTTCTAATATATAGTCAAACGTATCCATTGATATTCTCCTATATCCAAAAACTTTTGAGTTTGCGCTCCCAATTTTACATAGTGTGTGAAATTTTTCTTCATTTTCTCTGGGTAAATCGATTTCATTAATTCCATTTTTCACTTGTGGAATTGGCCATTTAAAGTAATAACAGAACTTTCCAGTAAAAATAAGTCTACTTCATCCATATTATAGTTTGATAAATACTGATCACGGCAACACTCTGAACGAAGTCGCACTCGACTGCGGACAGTCACGTTGCGCCCGCTCGTACACGCACCCGCGCATGGAATTTGGGTATACAGACGTGCCTATTAGCAATAAAAATAAAACAAAAAAAATATTAAACATTTCCCTGTATTTCTTTGTTTTTACACTATCGAACATCGGAATTAATTATTAATGACTGCCGAATGTTCCTATATGTGCACGACAGCATCAAAGTAACCGTGCAAGCAACGTAGCACAAATAGTGGAGGCTCAACCGCGTAACTTTCCCTGATTACATTTCATCATATTTCTTATGAAACTGGGTAATTTAATATCATGATTTATTAGCGTGGAATAGTTTATTAATTAATGTTTATTTACGTTTTCTGATTTGTAAAAATAAGAATAATTAGCTATGCTATTTGTACTGGATGACCTTTTTTACCGTCTGGAAAAAAATAGTGTGTAACATGCGAACGGAGTAGAGGAGAGTAGACGCACTGATAGTTTACAAAAAATAAAAACAAAAATTTAGAATTAAATTAATTAAAATCTATCGAAATTCAAATCACATCCACCCTACTTTATCTTTGACCTTGTCATTTCGCAGGGTCACAGGCTAGGGTGGATATAATTTGAATTTCGTTAGGTTTTAATTTATATATTTTATTTATTTATTTAATACAACATTTTTGTTTTTATTCTTTGTAAAATATCAGTGCCATAGACTTCTACTCCATTCACATGTTGCACCCTATTTTTTCCAGACGGTATAAAAGGCCATCCAGTATATTTAGTGACCGCAAGTACGGTTTCCGTCAGGGTCGCTCGGCTTGTGATCTTCTGGGTTAATTAATTCATAAATGGGTGGAGGCAGTAAAGTCCAAGGGGGAGGCGTTAGTCGTTAGTTTGGACATAGCGAAGGCCTTGGATCGGGTTTGGAACAAAGCGCTTTCTTACGAAGCTTCCTTCCT